TATTTAGGACCCTGTCTTATGCTTTTTCGTGTCTTCCATATCACCAAACACTGTGCTGACTGTATTTTCCTTAAAGCATGGGCTGTATCATAGATTTCTTTGTATTACCTTCAACACAGAATCTTATTAAACATAGATAGGAGGGGTGAGATCTTTCTTGTTTTCAATAATAGGTACTCAGTTAATTTCTGTTGTTTGATTGATTTTTATCTCCTGTTATAGAACGCATGGTTTTCCAATCATGAGTGAAAGTATATAAGCCTCTTTTTCTTTTTCCCTGACAAAGATTTTAGGTGTGCTTTAGTGGCCAACAGCTCTCTCTGTATAGGCTATTTCTTGAATTGACCATAATTATGTTCTTGCTCACAAAAGCCACTTGGCTGCCTTTTTCCTCCAGAGTTTATTTCGTATTGTTTTATTTTTTTACCCATTTACAGTTATAAACTTGTGGTAGGTCATACGTAGGCCAGTTGAATCTATGGGTGTGCCATCTGGCTGTAATTTTAGCAGGCTTACCCAGAGCGAAAGCTATATATGGAGAAAATAATACTATTTGACATTTATTAAATACAGTTTAAAATGTTATTAATTCACTTGTTTTTGTTTCCATTAGCCAAGGTAACTTGACTATTCACCCCTATTATCAAGATATTAACATTTTAACTTTTCTCTCATTTGGAAGAAAGGTATGAGAAAAATTCCCTTTTGTACAGGTGAAGATATTTGTTTTTCTATTAGGTAGTATCTGATGATAACTTACAATTTTTAAAATTTACTTTTTCTTGGGAGATATATCAGACATAGGTTAGAATGCATAAAACATATACATACTGTTTAAAGAATGATTATAAACAAACACTAGGAACAAGAAATAGAAGTTGCCTGTACCTGCTTATGCTCCTTACCAATCACAACTCTCCCCCTTACCTAGAGGTAACCACTATCCAGAATTTTGTGATAATCATTTCTTTACTTTTATGTACAGCTTTACCATTAATATGTATGTAAACAATTTCGTTTTGCTTGTACTTGTACTTGACGTAAATGAAATAATACGGTATGTATTTTTTTTGTATGTATTGTTTTGTGATTTCCTTTTTCCCCTCAATATTATTTGTGAGAGTTATCCGTGTTGTTGTATATAGCGTGGGCTCATTTCATTTTCATTGATGTTTAGCATTCTATATTATGAACATACCACAATTTATCTGTGCTGCTATAAATAATCTTGTACGTGTCTTCTGGTGCACACATGCAAAAATTTCTCTAATGTATTTTCCTAAAAACAGAATTGTTATAGGATATGCATATCTCCTAGATAATGCCAAACTTTTCCAAATGGTTGTGCCAGCAGTGTATGCTAGGTCCCATTGCTTCATGTTCTCATAATATTCGATATTGTCAGACTTAAAAATTTTTGCTATGTCTGTGTAACTTTTTTCTCATTGTGGTTTTAATTTTCATTTCCTTGGTTATTGATGAGATCAGGCATATTTTCATGTGTTTATGACCATTTGGATTTCCTCTTTACTTAAGTGCCTGTTCAAATCTTTTGCCCATTTTTTTTTATTGGGTTTTCTTTTTGCTTTCTAAGTTTTTTGTTTGTTTTTGTTTTTAATATTGTTTGGAGTATTGGTCCTTTGTCAGTTATATGTGTTGCAAGTATCTCCTCCCACTTAGTGGCATGTTTTTTCACTTTCTTTATGGTGTATTTTGACACACACATTTTTCATTTTAATGTGATCAAATTTTTCAATTACTTCTTTTAGAGATTTTTGTGTTTTATGACAATTTAGGTCTTTAAACTAGTTGGAACTGATTTTTGAGTGTGAGGTAAAAGTAAGGGTCCAATTTTTTTTTCTTTTATTTTTTTGTTTCAATTTTATTTTTATCCATATAGATTACTCAATTATTCTAGCATCATATTTTGAGAAGACTATCTTTTTTTCCATTGATCTAAAAAGCCACCTTTATCATATATCAAGAGTCTAAATATCCGCTTCGGTTTGTTTAGGTTCTCTAGTCTGTTCCATTGCTGTGTTTATCTATCCCTGTGCTTAGTACCACAGTGTCTGCATTCTAGCTTTGTATTAAATTTTCATATGTATAGCACAAGTTCTCCTTTTTCTTTAAGAGTGACTTGCTTGGTGTTTCTTCAAGAGGTCATCTTGATATTTTGTATATCAGATTTAGAGCTAGCTTGTCAAATTTTATTATTTTTTTTTTAGGTTTTTTTTTTTAGATTTTCATTGGGGAATTGGGGGGTGGGAACAGCGTTTGGGGAATTGGGGGAAGGGGAACACACAAGTTGCTGTCGTTTTGTTCTTCAGACTAGTTGTGGAGGACGTTGCTTCACTGGCCCAAGTGGGCACCATCATTGTGCTTTTCCCGGGTGAGGCAGATCAGTCGGCGGCTTCTGGATGGCTGCTCACCGCGGCTTGAGAGCCGCTCACACTGGCTGCTGGCTACACACAGTAGCCCATGGCAACCCACTGCAGCAGTGGCTGCAGCCTACACGGTTGCCGGTGACTCACGGCAGCCTAGCTCCAGGTTGAGCTGTTGTTCAGCATCTTAGCTATAGAGGGCAGTGTCATTGGCCCTCATATGTGGGATCCGAGCCGGAGCCCTCTGGAGTCCCAAGCCAGCTCTTAACCAAAGCGCCACTTAGCCAGCCCTAGCTTGTCAAATTTTAAAAGAAAGTATGTTGAGATGTAATTGAAATTGCATTTCATCTATATATCAATTTAGGGAGAACTGACATTTTCATAATATTGGGTCTTTCAATCCATGAGCATGGTGTATTTCTTCACTGTAGAACTTCTTTTGGAGCCTCTCAATAAATATTTTATAATTTTTTCCATAGAAGGACCAAAACTATTTTTAGAAAAGTGGGAGTGGGGAGGTCAAAAGGAGAACGATACTAGAAAGTGAGAAAGACAAACTTTACCAATGTGGTCAGAAATTGAAAGACAACATATACAATTTATACTAATATTTTCCCCACCCAGACTTTTCATTGATATGGCAACTCATGTTATGTGATGAATAAGGTCTGAGGATCTAATGTATAACATGGTATAACTACAGTTGATAACACTTTATTGTATAATTGAAATTTGCTAAGAGAGTAGGACTTAAATGTTCTTACCCCCCTCCCCCAAAGACAAATATGGGAGGTGATGGATGTGTTAATTAACTCAAGGAAAATCCTTTTACAACGTATATGTATAGCATCATCATGTTGTACACTTTAAATGCCTCATAATTTTGTCAATTATACCTCAACAAAGAAAAATGCACATTAAACTAGATTAAGATTTTTAAAAAGCTGTTTTCATTTTCTTTGGGTCCTCAATCAAATCCCTAAACGCTCAACTGATTTCATATTGTTAGGGGATATTGGCTGTACAACTAGAGCACTTTCAACTTTTCATTTGTGGTATATCTCCATTACAAAATTTCTCATCTGTCCATTCTTTCCTGTGACCCTATATCTGAAGAAGGAGTGTCTATGAGGAAGAAGTTCCAATGTAATCCATCCATAAGTACTCTGATTCCAGGACAGCTGGAATAGTTGTGATTACAGATTCTTTCCTACCTAGTGTATTTTTACATTCCCCACAGTCAGCCTGCAGAGGCCCCAGAAAAATGATGCCCAGTTTTCTACGAGAAAGGTAAAACATAAAAATAGCTCAGCGTTAACATCATTTATGAAATGAGGCTTTTGTTGCTTTGACAGATGAGGCCACTCTTTTATCTGAGCTTCTCTGACCTCCTCCTGGGGATATGCTGGCTCATTGAGGCACTTCTCTATGGAACTTCAACAGCGAATAAGGACATTATCTGCTATAACCTGCAAGCAGTTGGACAGGTGAGTACTATGAGACTGTGACTGTACCTTGTAAGAAAGGCACACTCAGATAAATAGGAAGCAAAGATAATACATCCTGGGAAGTAGGACCCTTTTGTGTTATTGTTTTTCATACTATAAAATACTACTTGTTAATTATAGAAAATTTGGAAAATTCAGAAAAGCAAAAAGATAGTTAAAATCACCCAGATATAGTCTTTAATATTTCTTTTATATTGTTTATCTTTCCTGTCTTTACCCCTGGAAGTATATGCATTGTAAAACAAATATAATAATAGACTTTTTATAATCTACTTTTATTATTCATCATATTGTGACCATATTTCCATATAATGAAATATTCTTCTGTAGCATCTTTTGAGATTACTGCATGTTTTATTATAGGAATATAACAAAAATTGGCTTTTGAAAATACTGCAGATGATCTTATATGGGTTATATATTATTCATAGATTTTATCAGTGGATTATACCACATAGTACTATCAGTACATAATGTTTCTTCTATATTTCTGAGACTTGCAATGTGAGAAAGCTAGAGGTTAAAATGCAGCTTGTATTCAGTACTAGATGTTTCCTTTGGGATTTGTTACTAGAGGGGAAATTTCTTTCAATTAAGTAGGAAAAGAATAATATGTAATTGGAGGTATGAAATCCATGTACTACGAGTAATATGTTAACTTATATGAATTCAAATATCTTAGAGATGTACTTTACTCAATCCTGCTAATAACCTCATAAATTAAATAGAGTTAAGGTTGTATTGTTTTATCAGATAAAGAAATAATATTTTAGTCTTTTTTTTTTTTTAGCTGAGTCATTCTGCCACCTGTTGGCAGCTCAGCGACAGCTCAACTCGGGCTGGGACTTGCACCGCTGTTGCTCAGAGCTCAAACTGTTGAGTGAGCTCTTAACCAACTGAGCCACTCGGCCGGCCCTATTTTTTTAATTATAGTTGATATTCAATATTATTTTATATCAGTTTCAATCATATAGCATAGTGGTTAGACATATAATTTATGAAGCGATCCTGCTGATAAGTCTAGTACCCATCTGACACTATGCATAATTTTTATAATATTACTAACTATATTCCCCATACTGCACTTTACATCCTCATGACTCTTTTGCAACTACCAATTTGTACTTCTTTTTTTTTTTTTTAAACATTTTTATTGGGGAATTGGGGGAGGGGAACAGACAAGTTGCTGTCCTTTTGTTCTTCAGTCTAGTTGTGGAGAATGTTGCTTCAGTGGCCCATGTTAGTCTTATCATTGCGCTCTTCCCGAGTTAGGCACATCGGTTGCTGGCCACTGGACAGCTGTTCACGCCGGCTGCTGGCCCCTCACGCTGGCTGCTAGCCACTCACAGTAGCTCATGGCAGCCCACTGCAGCCTACTCCATGCCGGCAACTCATGGCAGCCCAGCTCCAGGTTGAGCTGTTGTTTACCATCTTAGCTGTAGAGGGTGCAGCGTCACTGGCCCTAATGTGGGATCTGAACTCAGGCCCTGCTGCTCAGAGATGGTGTCCCAAGCCATCTCTTAACAAATGTGCCACTTGGCCAGCCCCAATTTGTACTTCTTAATCCCTTCACCTTTCTTACCCAGATCCCCAACCCTCTCCCATTTAGTAATCATCAGTTTGTTCTCTGTATCTATGGGCTGTTTCTGTTTTGTTTGTTCATTTATTTTGTTCTTTAGAGTCCCAGTCTGTAGCTTGTCTTTTCATTCTTTTAACAATGTCTTTTGCGGAACAGATATTTAGAATTTTTTTAATGAAGTGAAATTCACATAATCTGTAATTAGCCATTTTCAGGTGAACAATACAGTGGCATTTAGTACATTCACAATGTTGTGCAAACATCAGCTTTGTGTGGTTCCAAAACATTTTCATTGCCCTAAAAGGAAATTCCATACCTATTAGCACTTACTCGTTCATCTCCTCCACCCTTCTACCAGCCTTTAGAAACCACCAGGCTGCATTCTATCTCCCTTCTTCTGGATATTTCATATAAATGGAGTCATACAGTATGTGTCACCTTTTGTGTCTTTCTTCACTTGCATAATGTTCTCAAAGTTTATTTTGTAGTATGTATCAGCATTTTATTTCTTTTTATGGCTGAATACCACGATTTATTTACTCATTCATCTGTTGATGGACATGTAAATTGTTTTCACCTTTTGGCTAGTGTAAATAGTGCTGCTATGAACACTTGTGTACATGTATTTCTTTGAATACTTGTTTTCTAATAAAGTCCAATAATTTTTTCTTTAATGGATCATGCTTCCACTGTTGTATCTGAAAACTTATCTCTAAACTCAAGGTCACCTAGATTTTCTCCTAAGTTTTATAGTTTTGTATTTTACATTTAGGTCTATGATTTATTTTGAG